GCGTTGTGTTTAGGCTCTAGTTTATGACTAGTTGCCTTGCAGTGAAAGCTGCAGTCACAGATATAGGACGAATCTCGTCAGCGGCCGATTTCGAAGCTTACTTACTTACTCAAAATTACGACTTTGAACTCGAAATTACGAGAATTAAAGTAGAAATTTCGACTTTGAACTCGAAATTACGACTTCAAACTTGGAACTCGAAACTTCGACATTGAAGCCGAAATTTAGATATTCAAGTCAAAATTTCAAGATTATAGTCGAAATTTTAAGTTCTAGAGTCGTTATTCCCAAGAAATAAATAATGAACATGGGTCCCTTCTGCACTTTCGTATCATTCAATAAATAATTTCGGAGGTTTCTGGAGAATTAGTATTTCACCCCAGCACTGATTCACTTCATCTTCAATTTTTGATTCCACGACTTCGGTCGCTATAGAAAGCAGTGACATTTGGATGCCATATAATCCAAGAGCGATTCTGCACATATATTCGAGTGGCTCAGTCGGGACAACTTTTGATGTGGTTGCCTTTACGATGCACTCAAGTTTAATGGTCATTCTGAAGGAAATGCGATTCCTGTTCTCTTTTTCGTTTTGTGTATATTTGAGCTTTTTTTGCTACGCCGTAGCGGCGAATGCAATCATTCGCCACAAAATATAAATCAAAATTCGGCAGATCCCAAGCTTTATTTGTATTGAACTGAGTCGGGGACAACGTTTTTTGATATATGTGAAAGTTTATAATATCACTTCATGCAAATTAGTTCTATGCTGCCCTTCCACTTTTTGATATTACTAGTTTCAACTTTGTATAAATAATTTATGTGAAGATATTGTTTTCGAAGAAATAGGTACTTTTTCCACACGCCAGGAATACATCAGTTTGCAATTCTCGTGTTTCAACTTCCATGGATTTCATGCAAGTTGAAACACTAATACTACACTGAAATTCTAATACATTATTGGACACAACTTTTTTTAGATGACAATCCTGAGTAAAAGTGAGACAAAAAAATATAATTGAAAAACTTAAAGATGACACATGTAAATTGATCCTCTCCAGTGAACAATTGCTATAATGTAGTTACTGTTGTTCTATTCTGAATTTGAAGTAAAAACCATCTCACAACATTATTTTAGAAATTAAGTATTTTAGCAGTTGGTGGCATGAATTATTCAGCTATTGCTTCAATATATGTTCGTCAAATAAAAAAAAACATTTGGCTATCGCCGTTTGTTTCTTCCTATATGGTATGTAGTACAAAGTTTGCCACTTTCTTCCAAACTGTTTCACTATCCTTCCCAGGAAATGATGGAATTCGAATCTTTGGTGATTGCTCTACAGTTTCGTATCGTTTCCTGTAGGTGCTCTTTCCAGAAAACTCTTCTCGAGCAGAATGATGAGGAAACTAATGTATTGCCAAACACGTGTAGCCGAAACACGTGTCGTCGAAACATGTGTTGCCATTTTATGAACCTTTCATAGTTTTGACTGGATATTGGATAGAGTAACCGATACTCATTAGATAATTCATATTTAGAATTCGTCAACTCAAAGTGTGAAATTTAGCTTTTTTTTAAAAAAGGCCCCTATTTTCTTTCATATATTTCTTNGTACTCACTGTAGACAAAATCTCATGATTTTTAATGCAAGTAAAATATACGAGAAAAACATCATTCCCGATTTCAAATTTTCTGTTATTACATTCAATAAAAATTGTTATTTGCATATCAATATCTTCGGCGAATTGAAAACCAAACTGAAATTGCATTATTTCACTGAAACAAACAACTTTCAAAATGTGCTCAAAGCGTATCATCAGTATTGGTGATAGGAGCACTGTATCGCTAGATGACATTGATAGAGATATTGTATCGCAAGAAAGTTGGATTTTTCCTCGTCGGAGATTTTTAAACTTCCCAGCAGTTTGTAAAGAGCTTCGAATTCTATCCGTTTTGGAATGATGATAACCTCAATAGATAACTTTATTGGTCTTATTCTTTGGAAATTTCCTACATCATCTCCCTACCATCTCATCCCATAACAATATTGTGATTCATTTTCTTTTTGCTGGTACAAGTATTACACGATTTTATATTGTTTTGTGTAATATTCTATAATGAATGCCTAATGAAGACAATTATTTGTTGTTCTATTCGCTGATATACTAGGTAAATTTTGAGGTTCTTCCAATATTTTTGTCATGAAAATATCATCTCCATCTAAATGATATAATTCCCCATTGGTTACCTCAATAATGGAAACCACCATGATCCAAAACTGTCACAAACATTTGTATTGAAGTATTTTTCATCATGATCAACTTGTCACTGGTCTAATTATGAATAAAATTTTTCATGTAAGATTTTATTCTAGATAATAGTGATGATTTTGATAATATAAACAGCTTCTATCGACAATTTTCATGCGTAAATATTGATGCTCATCTTATACTCCAGAAGAGAGTACTAGTTTGAGAACTATTGGACAAGTTAAAAAAATTAAATTTCTCTTGAATATGTTGGCGGAAATTAAACGTGTCAACATATGTTCACAATTTCAGCTGTTTAGCATGTTTAGTTTGTTGGTGAGAGGCATAAAAGTCAGAATGTTTTGAGTGTTTGCAGATTTTCTGCTATTGAAAAAAAGTATCAAAGAATTTGCATCAAATTTTGTGTGAAAAATGGAGTTAATTACTCAAAAACACTCGAAATGTTGACAGTGGCATACGGTGATTGTACTCTGAGTCAGAAAAATGTGTACACCTGGTACACGCTTTTCATAGAAGCTCGAGAAGATGTGAATGACGACGCTCGCCTTGGACGCCCCAGCAACAACCGATGAAAATGTTGAGAAAGTAGAGAAAACTGTTATGGAGGATCGTCGAAAAGCCATTGATGAAGTTGCTGAGAATGTCGGCATATCGTTTGGCTCATACTATGCATTATTTTTGGAAATTTTGGGCTTAACGCGTGTGACAGTGAAGTTCGTTCAAAAATTGCTGAATTTTGTCCAAAAAAAAAACGATGCATGATCATCGCTAAGGAATTATTGTGAAGTGTTACTTGCAATCAAAAACATTCTTCTTTTTTTGAATTGATAATAAATGTATTCCATCTATTCCTCACCAGAACAAAAATACTTTTTTTCAACGCGCGTTTCCCTAATAAGGTTAGCATCATATGTCCAGTCTTAGTTATCTCCTGATGATGCTAACTTCGTTTGCGGAAACCGCGTCGAGAGACAGTATTTTCGATCTGGTGAGGGAAAGGTATTTTCACTAGATTCATTTTACACCAGAGGTCCCAAATTTCACTTATCAAGATGTACGCAAATCAATTCTCATTTCCAAACCAACTGCTGCTGATGTTAATATTCCAGAACTTTTCAGTTACATTTTCGAAAATCAACTGAACCCAGCAAACTATAAATTTGTTTTTCAAAAAAAAACTCATCATAAAAGTTATGTTAGGACCCTGTAAATAAATTTCATTTCTTGGGAGGCTTCAGAGCCACCAGATAATTAAGATCCTATTCGACTTTTTTCAATCCTGGTTACAAATTACTACTTAGTATATAACAAAGTCGTTTCCCGCTGTAAAGCATAATACAGTGGAGAAACATTGATAATTTTAGAGATTTCTAATGTGATATTGTGAATAAACCAATTTTTTTTGCGCTTACATTGCAAACGCTAGCTGAACCCTACGAGATATATCGAAATAATGTACTACAGACTACAGTATTGTACCTACACTTTAAAAAGGTCTACAAAAAGTCCGCGATGGGATTTGTCCATCTTTTAGGGATAACCCACAATAACCATTTCTATCCTTCACTTTTCTACGAAACGATTTTGAGCAATACAGCATTAATCCTTATCTAATTAAGTATTTTAAATACATTGTGTATTCAATATGGATCAATATCGTCCTCTACACTGTCCTCTACAGCATGTAATTTAAATAAATATTTTCGAAGATGTTACAGATTCAAAATGCGGGGACATTGCGGTTGCGGTGGTACCGGTCAGGGGGCCGGCGGCGCGTGCCTATTAGTAGCGCTTGGAAGGCCGCGCTTCGTCCTAGATCACTTTATGATTAGGAGTGATCGCACGCGTTTATGTATAATTAGTACCACCATTGTACCCGTGCGGGCCGGGGCTGATCGCTAGTCATCTATCAAAAGATAGCTTACAACGTCGAAAACAAAACATTTCAAGTCGCATACACATCTTTTTTCACCCACAATGCGTTAAAAATATGTGTATGTATGTTTTAAAAAAGCCGAAGATTTAATTCGATTTTAACAACATGATCATTCTTTAATTCTCTTGATATNTATGTGTATGTATGTTTTAAAAAAGCCGAAGATTTAATTCGATTTTAACAACATGATCATTCTTTAATTCTCTTGATATCTTTGTTAAAAAATGCTGTATTTGTTTCTCGGAGAAAGACAGTTTGCTAAGTATGAAACTTGAAATAGAAAGTCAAAAGGTTCGCAGTCTAACAATAAACGGATCGTTCCAGAGTTACTATTTCATCTGAATTTGGCCAAATATTGCCAAATAGAGCTTGTCATATGTTGGAAGAGTTTTTTGAATTTCTATATGGCATATTGTGAGAATTCTCATGTCTCTTCCTAGATTTGATCAGATGACAAAACACGATAATCAACCAGTATGACATAAAATGAATCACATGCTAAACGAACGTATTTCAAATTAGTTACGAAATCTCCCATTCCACATATTTCCGTCCAGGAATGTAACCATAACATCAACTATTCGAAGATTTTCCTTTCACCAGAATCCACCACGCTCAGACAGCGTTTTACGAGATCCACCGTGTAATTCGAAAACCGCACAACCATCAAAGGTTATCTTCGGGGTTGAGGTCGGTTGGCGTCACCTCACCGTCCCCCCAAACTTCCTCCTTGGAGTTTCTTTGGCAATCATAGTTTGTTAGTTTGTCCTGTACTAGTTCCTCTCTGCCATGTGGGGACCGCTCTTGGTGGGGATGGAAACGCATGCCTCTAGCGATGCGGGGGCAAAACGTAAGGAAGGGCACCCGGACGGCCAGCGGGAAATAATTCATTCTCCATTCGCCGGCAAACGCTCGAATCGAGAAGGTTACAGCGTGAACAAAACACGTAATTCGAGCCAATACAAAGGCTACTCTGAGCTGACCGGAGTTGTTTGGTGTGAAATCAAGTGAGTCGGTGCGTGAAACACCTGACGACGGTCGGCCCTCTTTCCTCTTGTATAAGTGAGAACTCTGTCGATATAATACGTCGTGAACTTTGTTTTTCCTGCATACTCGCGACAAGTCTCCGATAACCGAAACGTAATCGGCTTTATTTTGGAAGCGGGTCAAAGTGAGCCGTGACCGACCTATCTCAACATTTCGAACAGTTAGTTGGTCATGAACGATTATTATTCGTGCAAGGTTAGTCAGTTTCTACAGAGCTTCGTTACCGTTTTCGACGAGTAACCTGATTTTCGAACAATTGATCTGTCAGTGTTTTGGAGAATTGCATGCTGTTTGAGCCGAAATGTCGGCTAAAAGGAAGGCCTCCGCTATTATTCAACATCACAAGGTGAGGTTATTAATCCAAATTAATTTTAACTGGGGAACCGAGAAAGCATGATACGTAGTTGATTACTATTAGATAGAATATTTGTAACGAGTTTTATAGAATTTTCGTAAATGGAAATACATGTAAAAAGATGCTTGTCTCCACTGAAAAAGTTCAAAATATTATTTTATTTTTTATTATCTGTATGCAGTCTAAACTCAGAGGTCAAACACATGAGAGGAGTGGAAATATATATCAAAAAGCTTTTTTCCCAAAAATTTCTTCTAAAAATACTCCCTCATCAATTTAAATTAATTAGTCTGACTATAATTAAATCAACTAAGGATATGATTATGTATACCTACGTACTATCATCGTGACAAGAGCAGAGTTGTTTTTTTCGTTAACATAAAGTAGTGTTATGAAGAAAACGAGTAATTCAAAATTAGTTGAAAGTATGGAGTACCTACTTAGTTGTTTCAATAGAATTTTTTCTCTCGTTATTTCTTTCAGTTTGTATCTGAAAGAAACATGTGTATGATGAACATCTTCCTAAAAATTTTTATTGCAGTTTTATTTTCTTCCTTTCTTTTCTTTGGTAGTTTCCCACATTTTTGTTACTGATGGAGAAGTAGAAAACCATAACGCCCTTATTTATAAAAATTAGATTTGTATGAGAATATCAAAGTGTATAAAGAAATTTCAAAACGAAAGGAAGATCCAGAGGAATAACCGACATTTCAATTGAATAAAAGTGACAATGACTCTATCAGAATACAACACGTCTGAATCACCTAATATTGAGAATGATGTATAGTTTGCCTGCTGTTAACCAAAATACTCTTTTAATTTGTGTAATTTATTGTTTCTGGAGGGTCTATTATAATGCTCGTAAATTGAAATTTTCGATTTTTCCTCTGTTGAACACTATCTTTATTATTTGTTGGATGGTTACATTTTTATGTGTTATCTTCAGCTTAAGTTGCTTCAACATCATAATTTCCAGGTATGTATAGTTGATGGTAGGATTTCAAAATGAAAATTTGTTCAGAATTGATCTCACTTTACATAGTGAATATAATTCATTACTGGATACAGTTTTTCTGAGAGGCTGAGACGCCTCAAAATGCAGGAATTACTACCCACTTCAATTATTCTTTCGTTAAGTGTCTTATTACTCATTATTTCCTTAAACCATATTACATACTTTTATTAGGATGACTTTTTTTATATAGTTTTTCATTATTGATGTTCACGTAAAAAGGTTGTACATGTTTCAGACGTTTGATTATTGTCAACACTGATAATTAAGACGTGTCATGTTACTTAAATACGTTATGGATTTTCATCAAGTCCCGGAAAATTCCATCACAGACGTGTTTTAAAAAATATTTTAGTATGTTGGTCAAATCCCAGCTGTATATTGCGTATTTTATGCTGATGACAACACAAAGAATACTCAATTATTATTTTCCAAATTTTCATTATCATAACAATATCAACTCCACTTGCACTGAAAATTAGATGCTATATGACCAAAATACTGAATCATTTCATCAAATGGAGTAAAATTGAAAGTTCTTCAATTACAATAACACTAATGGCACGTCTTCAGAGTGACCAATCATTTGTCGCCTGAAAGTGACTGAAACATGTACAACTATATTTGACGTGAACTTCAACGAAAACACACACGTTTCTTGCACAACATTACGACCTGTTGAGACAAATTTGCTCATATCTCTTAATTGCTTTTTTTCTTTTTTCGGATATTTCCCACTTCTTTACACAAAAATGGAGAAGTAGCAAGTTGAAAAGCTTTTCTCAAAAAAAAATGTTCAAAATGTTCAATAAAATAACAAATCATTGTACACATTGTATAATTTAATAGTTATNACGTTACTTTGACTAATTGGGAAAATATGATTCTACATTTAAGATAAGCTATCTCTTTGAATTCTTCTCTGTATTTTCTTATGTGACATAAAGGTATATTTCTTGAAGAATTAACGAAAATAAAATGTATGTGACGTACGACTGACTACACCATTACTTCTATTATCATTAGAACTAAAACAATCAGAAATAATAACAATTCGTAACAGTAGTTTTTATCCATAAAAGAGAATGAAGTCGAAAAAATCAAACAATTTCAATTGTATCTGTGATTTATGACCGATATTTCTCAGCTCTCTTTTGATATACCTTAAGTTTGTTAATACAAATGAAATCTACTTCATGGCTCAGATTCGGTACCCATTTTTTTCACTTCGTAAAAGTGAATACTGAACTGGATAAATTAAAATTGTTTTTGATATATATTAAAGAAATGCTTTAATTATTGGAAATAATACATTTTTATCTCATTCAGCATATGGCATCGGTACGAGTAATATCAATTAGATTTCAGCTTTGACTGATAATCTGAAACTACATGCTTCCAACTTTTGTATAAGGCGTACCTATATTGATATTAAAATGTTATACAATAATTTGTTAGTTTTTCATTGATATCAATAAAATATTTCACCTAATATTACTGACGCGGTTACTTTTATGGAGGTCTTCACATTTCTTAATTGGCTTGTCAATAGTCAGTGTTTGACTGTGTGTAAAACAAGCCAAACACAAGAAATCTACTGGCCATCGTTGGAAAACTTCTTATAATCGTTTACAAAGGAAAGTAATAAGTAAATTCAAAGAAATTGTAGGAAAATCACTATATAATAATGTTAATCAAACAACTTACCCGATCATGGTAGTCGTCGATGATGGTTGTGAACAAGTGACGTCATGCACTTTGATTGGTGTTCATTGTCACGTGACATGACGTGTTGTACCATTATTATATTGGAAATTAAATTTTGATTTTCAAATTAGGTTCTGTAATTTTCTTATTAGTCAGTGGGCTATGCTTGAAGACTGGCAGTAAAGGAAAGTCTTCAAGCATCGCCCACTAACTAATAAGAATTTTTTTTTCCTTATTCAGAGGAATCGGGCAAATTTCAGATATGCAGTTGGTTAGGACCTTGTCCACTAGATGGAGTGACATTTTGTTGTTTGCTCCAACTTAGGAAGAGGAATGAAATACTTTGAAAGAACTCCGATTTTCAATTATGGAGTATCATTGACTTTAGGTCGATGATGGCCACAATCTTGCACTGATGAGTGGCTAATGAGCCCGAAACCGGTCTGCAAGTGTGCCCGTTCCAAAATTGAAGGTCGACTCTTTCAATTGTATTGCCAATTGCATATGCAGGAAATTTTCTGTGAATATTCCTGCACTGACGCCTATCGGATATAATCCAACGCCCTTCGTGGTATTAGCCAGTGAAGTAGTTGTTTTCTGATAGGTGTCAGTCCATTCAATCTACTGTGTAGGTATATTCGAGACTGGCTTGAACGTTTAAAGTTCATTTCTTTACATCCGTAATAATAAAAAAAATAGTTTTCAAGATTTCTATTATGAAAACTATTCCGTTTAGCTGCAAGGTTATATTTTCATTTGAATACAGTCACATCCCTATCAAACTCGGACGATCGGTATAACGAGTCATTCTTTCAGAATTTCCAATTGCCTCCAACTAGATGTCCTTCAAAGGGGAAGTAAGGCATCAACTTTTGTTATTCACTATCGTGAGGTGAAAATATTTCAAATGTCAACAATAGAACGAGGGACATGCGTTCCATTGTAAAGTGAATCTATTTTAAGTACAGAATTCAACATATAAATGCGTTCGTATCAGCGAGGATAATGACTAGCTTCGCTCTAGGACTTAATTGTTCCAACCTTTGTTCGTAAATAGAAATGTATGTGAAAACTTATCGGTGATTTTAGTTTTCAACACACATGCACTAAAATTAACTGTCAAAGAAGGTGTAGGAATAACAAAATCAGATTTTTATGTGTTTCATTACATCGGACTGAATGATACAGATACAGATACAAATTGGGAACCCACTATCTATATTATTTTGGCAAACTAGTACTACTTGTTTCACCTATTTGGATTTGAGAAACCAAAAATAAATGACCGGTATTTTTGACTTTTAGAGAGAAATTCTATTTTCTCCAATGGAAAGCACTTGAATAGCTTATTTTAGAAGAACATGACATTCCACTTTTCTATGTTTATACAAAAAAATGTGGGAATCTTCCAAAGAGAGGGAGGAAGCAATCAATTTGAAGAATTAAATCTATACGAAGATCATGCAAAGAAGTAACTTTCAGACACAAACTGGAAAAAAAAGCCCTTAAAAATAATCTTTCCTAAAAATATACCCCTTTCAATTCAAATCACATTCCAATATTGAACGTATTTGACAATTTTTTAAAAGGAAAAATAGGGGGGGATCACGAGAAGTGATGTTTAGAAGATAAGATATTTTTATTTAGAAAATGAATATCATATATATTATTCGAATCATTGCACAAAATGGATAGTAATGTCTTCTCCAGTATGTCCTTGAAGACATTACCTGATACGAACCATCCAGCAACAGAGTTATCGGAAAAGTTTACAGGTTCATGCTCAAACGTAGGTATATGAGCATCTGCTGAGAAGACATCAAATATTTTTATGGGCTATGTTGTCAACTCTCTTAGCGAAGAGCATCAGGGCTATTTGCAATCCCATCGGTCATATAGCAGAATCAATCCACCTGCAATTAAATAAATTTTCACGAGAAAAATATCTGGACAGAGACGGGTTCGAACTCACGACCGTTGGATCGTGAACCAGTTCAAGAGTTATTATTCATCTTTCATTTATCCTTTATAACTCCCATATTTAAAAAAATATCACGTACTTTGTAATTGTGATATTACCTTTATAGATAGATAGATAGATAAATTTGTTCAGGTAATTACATATTTTGATAATGGCATAACAATGAATGAAAAATAAACAAGTTTGAAGGCTGATCTACCTAAGCAGAGCATGAGTTGTAGTATCAACCTATAAACCCCCGTGCCCCCTCCTGGTTTGAGTGCCATGAAGTAAAAACTTCGTCCCACAACT